CTCGGGACACCGATCTATATTAGTCTCTAACTAAGCGAGCCCCGAGGGATATGAAGGACCTGATGTCTTGCATAAACAAGTATACGAGGGTGGAGGAAGAGTCAGCTATGCTCGAGCCTAGAGTCCCGACAATGAAAAAATGGGACAAGGAATTGCTTGTGAGGAGAGGAGCACCGGCCCATCGACTCCAAGAAGCATATCTTTTCAAGGGGTGAGCACGATCTTCAAAGAACCCATTTATAAGATGCTGCACAAGATAAAAGAAAGTGTCTTTCTTCAAGTGGCCACCCAAAATGCAGGGAGATCCAGTCTCTAGGGATTCAACGTCTCGATGCTCTTACCATCAGGATGTTGGGCATATGACCGAGGACTGCCAGGTGTATAAATCATTCCTCGAGAAACTGGTTCGAGGAGGACATCTCGGGAAATTCATTGATGGCTCGGACCCTAGGGGTCTGACAAGGGATAAAGTAGGCATATCCCAAGAAGTAGTGACTGTGATTAAAGTGATACATGCTTGCACAGTAGACATACCCATTTACAATTCGTTCTGTGCTGACCTCCATAGGGTTGTGCAAGTCGTGAAGGTGGAGGAAACAAAGTTTGGGGGATAATCGTCTAAAAGACCTCGGCTTGACGTCGAGGCCATCTAGTTTTCAGATGTCGACCTAAGTGGGCTAGCCTTCCCACACGAAGACGCCCTGGTGATTACCCTTCGGATTGAGAAATTCGATGTCAAGAGAATCCTGGTGGACTCGGGAAGTTTATCTGAAATGATATATGACGATCTCTTCCACAAGATGGATTTCACCTAGAAAGATTTGAAGCCCGTGAAGACCCCTTTGTAAGGTTCAATGGCTCTTATGCCCTTCCTCTCAGAAAGATTACCCTTATGATCACCGTGGGGGTTGTCACAATCCCATTTAAGTTTGTGGTGATAGATTTTGATTCCCTCTGCAGTGCCATTATGGGTAGGACATGATTATATGCGATGAAGGCGGTATATTCGTCTTACCATGAGAAGGTAAAGTTCTCCAATGCGAGGGGAATCATAGAGATTTGTAGCGACCAAGCCTCATCCAAAAGTTGCTTTTATGCAGTAGTGAAGACTGGGGTTAACACTAGGTCGCAAGAACGTGACCCTGAGACAATGTTGGCAAAATAACAATCATAGTTCAACTGGCCAAACATTGATGATCCCATCACGGACCCAGCAAATCATTGCACGGAGGCTCTGGATAAGGTTCTTCTGAATCCCGGAGCTGATGAGAGATTTTTGCTTATGGAGAAATCACTGGTCGATGCTGAGAAATTTGATATGGTAAACTTCATTTGTGGTAACACCAACGTCTTCGTATGGAACCCAACTGAGATGACATGAATAAGTCCCGAGGTGATATGCCATCGACTTCATGTTGATCCATCTTTTAAATCCGTAAAGCAAAAGGCTCAAAGAACGACTCCTCACCACGTACAGGCGGTCGATGAAGAAGTTGACAGGTTGTTCGGGACTAGGTTAATCAGGAAGTCCAGTTCCCCGAGTGGCTGTCGAACACGATTTGTGCAAAGAAAAAAGACAAAAAGTGGCGAGTCTGCATGGATTTTATGGACCTGAATAAGACATACCCCAAAGACGAGTACCCTTTGCCGAAAGTCGATCAGCTTGTTGATGCCTCCGTGGGGTATGAACACATTTCTATATGGATGCCCGCGCAGACTACCATTAGATCCCATTGCACAAATTTGATCAAGAGAAAACGACGTTTCATCACACCCTGAGGTATTTATTGCTATACGGTGATGCGGTTTGGTTTGAAAAACGCCAAAGCCACTTATCAACGCTTGATGAATAAGATGTTTAAACAACAACTCGACGCCATAATGGAAGTATACGTCGATGACATGTTGGTAAAGAGTAAGGTGAAAGCCGATCATATTCAGGATCTCGGAGTCACCTTTGCCCTGCCCCCAAAATATGGCCTGAAGCTCAATGTTTCGAAGTGTGCTTTTTGGGTAAGCTCAGGCAATTTTTTGGGATATCTAGTCACTCATCGTGGTATAGAGGCCGATCCCGATCAAGTACAGGCCGTATAGAGAATACAGAAGCCGAAGACTATCAAGGACATACAAAAGTTAACCGGAATGCTAGCGGCACTCAATCAGTTTATTTCTAAGTCCTCAGACAGATGCAAGTCATTCTTCACCATGCTTAAGGGGGCATTGAAGGGATGCTGGGGTGAAGAATCCATCGGGCGCTAGAGGGAATCAAGGATTACTTAAGGTCCCCTCCGACTCTTTCTATTCCAACAGCGGGCAAGGTCTTAAACATCTACTTGTTCGTTTCAGAATGGGCAGTTAGTGGGGCTCTGGTGAGAGATCACAACGGGGTATAGAGGCCAGTCTATTATGTGAGCAAGACCCTACTCGACGCCGAGACTAGGTACTTGCCAATGGAAAAGCTTATACTAGCCTTGGTCGTCTCAACTAGGAAGCTTAGACACTATTTCAAGGCACACCCCATAGAGGTCTTGACCAATCAGCCCTTGAAGCCCGCACTTTACAAAGCGGACATATCTAGGCGAGTCTACAAATGGGCCGTGGAGCTAGGAGAGTTTGAGATAACATACAGGGCTCGTACTTCTATTGAAAGGGAAGATCCATGCTAATTTTCTTGCTGAGTTCTCTGCGTTCGAGTCACCACCAGATTTGAAGTTAGTTGTTTTTGCCCACCACGACGTTTGGAGTTTACATGTGGATGGATCCTCGAACACAAGGGGGGGCAGGAATAGGTATAGTCTTGACCAATTTCGGAGGATTTACAGTAGAATGAGCAATCAAACTTGGATTCAAAGCATTCAATAACAAGGCCGAGTACGAGGCGCTGTTGGCTGGGCTAAATATCAAGTACTCCTTCGGCGTAAGACACCTCCAGATCTTCTGCGATTCCCAGTTGGTGGTAAATCAATTTAATGGGGAGTTTGAGGTACGAGGCGATAAGATGAAAGCCTATCACTAGAGAACAAAGTCGAAGATGGAGAAGTACCAAAAAATAGAGGTGTCCCAAATTTCTAGAGATCACAATAGACATGCCGAAGTGTTAGTTTGCCTAGCCTTGGCCTTGGCTTTAGAAATAACTCGGTGCATCATTGTTGACTACCTCGAGAATCCAAGCATAAGGCACTTAGATGCCAAAGAGGTCCTACTGACGAGCGCTCAAAGTATGTTACTGAGTTGGAAAGACACCATAATCGAATACTTAATGAACGTGACACTCCCCAAGGATGCCAAAGTAGCCAAAAAGGTCAAGTTGAAAGCTCCCAGATTCTAGATATCGCCCAATCACAAATTGTATCAGAGATCCTTCTTAGGACCATATCTACTTTGTGTTGTCGAGGGTAAGGTGGAACCACTGTTGTGTGAGGTTCACGAGAGAATATGTGGAAATTACACGGGAGGAAGATCCCTCACGCACCGTGCAATGTCTCAACGGTATTGGTGGTCATACATGCAGAAGAATGTCAAGCAGTTGTTTAGAAATGTGGCAAGTGGCAGAAGTTTGCTTCAATCATCTGACAACCGGTAGGGGCTTAAACCCTTTGACAAGTCCTTGACCAGTTTCTCAGTGGGGCATGGATATAGTGGGACTTCTACCGAGGGCTCCTTTGGGCAAGAAATTTCTTTTAGTCATCATTGATTACTTTACCAAATGGATCGAAGCCGAGCCCTTAAGCAGCATTCAGAATGTGGAAACGAAGAAATTCGTTTGGCAGAATATAATTACTTGGTTCAACATCCCCCGAGCCATCGTCTCTGACAACGACACCCAGTTTAACAGTGGGCCATTTAGAGAGTTCTTCTTAGGATTCAGAATATGTAACTACTATTCCATTCTGGCGTACCCTTAATGTAACGGGCAGATGGAGGTCTCCAATAAATAGTCTTGGCTGGGATAAAGAACAGGTTGGAGAAAGCTAATGGCAGATGGACCGAAGAACTACTTAATGTCTTTTGGGCATACAAAACCACCTTGAGGACCTCTACTGAAGAAACTCCCTATGCTATGACATATGGTGTTGAAGCTGTTAACAAAGCCTTCGAGTTGGGAAACAGTGATGAATCATTTGACAGGGATCTTGATCTGATTGAAGAAAAAGGGAATTGACATCTACACATTTAGCCAAATATCAAGGGGAGTTATCAAGACAACATCAAAAGAAGGTCCGAACAAGAGGTTTTCAGGTGGGAGATTTGGTATTGCGCAAAGTTGTGGGCAACACACTAGAATCCACTAACGGGAAGGTTAGCCTCAATTAGAAGGGTCCGCACAAAGTCGTGGCCATATGAGACACAGTAACATATCGACTACAAGATATAGATGTCAAAGATGTAAGTCGACCTTAGAATGTATCAAATTCAAAGAAATATTACTACTAAATTGATTTCAAGAGCCAAATCTCAATAATTAACATGAGTCTCGGGCTTGGCCGTTAGGGGTAAGACCCCGAGAGGGGTAAGCCTCCACCCTTAGAGTACTGTCCTCGAAAAAAATTAACATGAGCTCGGTCGTTAGGGGTATGACCTCAAGGGGGTTAAACCTCCACCCTTGGAGCACCGCCCTCGAAAAGAATTAACATGAGTCACAGGCTCGGTTGTTAGGGATAAGGCCCCGAGAGGGGTAAACCTCTACCCTTGGAGCACCGCCCTCGAAAAGTATTAACACAAGCCTCGTGCTCAATCGTTAGAGATAAGGCCCCAAATCAAGTAAGTCTCCAATACTTGTGCATTTTCGAAACTTTATCAACCTGGAGGTTTGGGAGCCAATAACACAGTTCAATAGAATGAAATAGAAGACATTATGAAAGAAAAAGGAATTTCATTGATAAAGAAAAAGAGGGTCGTGCATCCCTCGAGCATACAATAAGCAAAAAAAAAAAACAATTTCAGGGGCCTTCGGAACCAGCGGGCTCGCCAAGGTCACCACCGAGCTCCTCACCGCCGAGCTAAGACTGATGCCTTCTGAGAGACCCTTCACCAACACCAAGGATCTCATCAAGCTCCCCAGACTCGGTCCCGCCGGGATAGATGAGAAGGGTACCAGGGATAGAGGGATCGTCGACATGCATAAGAAGGGTAGGAGAAGGAAGCCGAAGGGGAGACATTCCCTCTGATTGGTCACTAACGGTGATCTGCACTATCTCTGCCATTGTCTCCCCTACTTCAGCTGGCCTTTTAGGTGGAGCTGGCTCTACACCTTGCTGGACAGTAAAGGGGGGTTGCAGCTTCACCTACCCCTTGCAAATTATGCATTGCAAAGAGCTTAGAGTTGGGGCAACCCCGGTAGCACGAAGAGTCTCATCCCAACCTTGCTTAAAAGCCTTCATTTTTTCATCATCGAAGGCTGGGATGAACTACTCTTGGCACTGATTGTACACGTCCATGCAAACCCTGTTCAACTTCCCCAGCCCTGCCTTTCTTTAGTCCCTCCATCTTCGAGGTCAGGGCGGCACAGTTGGCTGTGGCTTCTAATAGCTTAGCCTTAGCAGTAGAGACTTTTAGCTCGGCCTCTTTCATCCTCCTTGTCGCCTCAGCCTCGGCTTGTTTTCTCTTGTCCAAGTCAGCGATAAGAACCTCAGCTTTATGGATCAGGTCAACAATGCTCCTAGACTGTTCGATGACCATCCTCTCCATTTTGTTAATATGAGAGTCTTTCTTGGTGAGCTCGGCCTGAACCTTGTTGGCCTTGTTCTTGAAGGCCCAAAAAGGGTAAATGATGAATCCCATTTTCTGGCAAGCTTGAAAGGAAAGAACAAGAACAAATGTCAGAATTTGGACAAGGCAACAAAAAATTCAAGGTAAGAAGGGAGTTCGGATTACTTACCACCAGGTTATGTTGGACCACCCCTTGGAGAAGCTGGTTGTCTTCGTACTCATCCAGTATTGCCATGTCGGTGTCAAAATGGAAGGTCCCATTGACGAAAGGGCCACATTAGGGGAGTGGATTATGGAGTCAGACTCCAAAATTGGTTGCCCCTTCTTATAATGGCTTGGGGGGCCCACTCAGCGGTACCAGAAGGGTGACAAAGTTAATGTGATGCCCACCTAGATCCCTCGGCACTTTGGGGCAGAAAAGACCATCATACTCTTGTCCGTCACCCTTCTCCCATCTACCGTCGAGCATTATGAGATCCTGGGCGTACCCCTTGTTCGCGTCGAGCATATGTGTCACCAAATACTTGGAAGGGTCCCTGGCCTGAAGATAGTATCTGCCTCCGCTGACTAATTTCAAGTCATAGCAGAACATAATCTCGTCTATCCTCATGTTTAGCCTCAACCAAGCATTTATGGTGACTATGCTCATGACTATTCTAAACAGACTGATACAACATTGGAGGGGAAAGAGCCTCAATTGCATGAGGACTCTTAACAGAAGGGGAGAGAGAGGGAACCTAAGACCCCTTCCATTATGGCCTTAGTGTGGAAGGGCATCGGTTGTACACTGCCTACATCAGCCCTATGAAATGCAGGGTCAAAGACAAAAGTGAAAACAAGCTCAGGAATGGTGTAAGTGGTTCTAAACGCCTGCAGGTTGGTATAAGACGTGTGGGTAGTCGCCCCTGAAACACAGGCGTGCTGAGAAAACCTCCACTCTCCATACGTCACCTGTCCCATGACGTGTTGAAAATGGAGACTGGGGAGTAGTTGATGGGACTTTAGGCGGCTCAATAGCCCCAAGTTGACATGTGGACAGTTATAGCCGTTAAGGACCGCAAAGGGCACCTGGAGGAGGTGCCGAGGAGTTAAAGCCTCTGGAAAACCGAGTTCACCCATCAGGGTCTAGCATTAAAGGAGATATGACACCTCATTAAATAGGGTCTTGAGTGGCCGTAAGTCATTAAACGAGAAGTGTGAGGACAGTCATTATTATAAAGTATTAATTACCGTGACGCCGACTCTATGTCCTCGATGAAAACTGAGGGGTGTTTATTCCCGAGCAGTGAACGCTCGGGCGTAGGTGTCAAGCACCGAGCAACGGTATTTAATGACCGGGGATAGGGCTATAAAGGTTCGGCGTGTCCCAAGCAAAGGTCCGATCGCCCGAGTGAATCAGATACGATTGCATAGATACGAGTGCATAGATACGATCGGCCAAGAGGATTTGATGGGATAACACTCATTATGCATAGATACGACTGCAAGCCATTAAATGTTGAAATGAGACTCAAATGTCCTTCAATCATTGCTAGTTCAGGTGTAAATACCCCTCATAAAGTTGAACAAAAGTACGCAACCTAAATCTAGAAAATACACTGTGCTAATGTCTCAAATGTTGACTGACTTGAGTTTCGGAGGGAGCTAGCCGGGTGTTCACCCAGCCTTCTCTAACTTGTTGAATATTTCAAGTTCATCATTTAGCAGATCATTATCTCAACTCATTGCAGGAAATCACTCGGACAATAAGTTAGCCAGAACAGCTTTCAACTCGTGCTATGGGTACTCGATTTTGGGTGGAGTGGACCAAAATTTGGGCACCGGACGGAAAACCCTAAATGGTGAGGACCAGAGCCCATTTAGAACAAGTCAACATGGTACAGGCGATCAGATTGTGGAACTCAGCTGGATGCTAACACAGACATAGGTGGTCCCATCATGGCATACCCTAGCTTGGTCTATAGTGTAATCTGCAACACTTAATCATTAATATATTTACAGTAGATTTAATTTTAATGACAAAGTCTCTTTTGGATTCTGCTCTTTAAGATGGTCCTTCCAAAACGCTTACGGCTTTGATCCCACCACCACCACCCCCCCCCATGATTCGGTCCCCGACCTATATATACCATATAATAGCCCCTAGTTTGATCATGCGCACAAGGCCACGGTTCTGGGGTGCAATGCTTCCGTGTATGAATCTTTTTAATTAGGTCCGTTAATGGATTAAATTTTTTTTTTTTGAATTCGAATTCGAATAGTTTGATATTAATTAATATTTTTTATTGATAATGTGAATTCACTATTTTATATTTTACGGATTCATATATAATTATATTCGATTCAATTACAATTCAATCTGACATATATAAACATATTTTTTATATAAATATTAAAGAAGCCAAGTAATTATTTGAAGAAATTTAGACATAATTTGTTAAATTAAGTTAATCGGATCATGTAAGATTTCGAATTATTATCAAATTTGGATATGGATCATAAAAATAAAATTCCTTGAAAATTAAAATCGAATCGGACTTATTTTGGACCAGTTAAAATCCACTCCAAATCTGATTTGTTAACAAGTCTATTTGTACCATCGTCATTTACTTCACTTTATTTTAAAAAAAAAAATCAATAAAACTATTTGCTAGGCCCCAACCAACACAGGAGGCCACTGTTAATCTAATAACAACATTTGATTAAGTCAGTGAATTATATAAAAATATTATTGCTCATTTTGGATATACCGATATAAAAAAAGAGTGATAATATTTAAGCGTAAAAATCATACTTAATTTATTGATGTAACAACTGATTTGGTCTAATAACGTCATTCTAACGGCAACTTTGAAAATTTTTTCTCACTTCCAAAAATTTTAAAAAAAAAAAAAACAATTTAAGAGGAGTCTAACCCGATTACCCACCAACATGATTTGGTCCCAGACCTACAACATAGACCCAGCTTCATCATGCGCAGAAGGCCTCGGTTCTGGGGCGGAATGCTGCCATGTACCATCTTCATTACTGCCGAGGGGATGAGGTCAAGCTGTTTACTACTCAGTGATGACCTCAAGTTAGCATTATGAAAACACACCACATTATTGTACAAACTATAAAATTGGAACATATAATATAGGACATTATTGTAGTTGACACTAAGATCACGCAAGTGAAATTCACATGGGAACATGAAGAACAGTAAATTGTGGGAGGTTGTAGGCTGCAAGTAAATGTAACACTACGACTATGTTTTTGAACTGAAAGTCAATCCAATAAAGTTAGATGTTTTTGGATTCTTATGAATCAAAAATGACCCTCTCATCTCTACTAATAATGGATTGTATTGTGTCGTGTTGTGTAAAAAATTTGTATAAATTTGTGTCGATTTCACGTCAAATCGGTGCATGGGTACCGTTAAGAATTGACCTATTAAGTTAGGTTAGTCTCATGATTATATCGTATTAAAGTTTACTTAACTCATGTAAAACTGATTTATTAATTAGCAAGTTTAACACGTCGACCCAAATATCACCCATATCCGTTAAGATGAAATGTATAATATGAAAAAATTTATCAGTCTTCCCATCCATAATCCCACCTCACTGGTTCTGGGAAGCCCCTCGTTCCTTAGTATACTGACATCTAGCAATAGGATATTTAAGGACTCCATTTTTTAAGGTTGAGTTTTATTTTTATTGGTTGGAAACTGATTGGATGATAGCTTAATATTATATGATAACGGCTGACTGTAGGAAATGGGGGGGGGGGGGGGGGGGGAAATCAAACCAACAGTCATAAGCCCTAGTTCAAACCGAATTTTGCTTCATAGGGTACAAAAAGGGTTTGAACCCTAATAATTATAAATACTGTTCATAATTTCATATAGGTTGGTGTGTTCAAGTAACAAAATGTGTATCCTAGTTTGATTATTAATCCGAGATTTTGACCAGAGAGATCATAGCAGACGAAACCCACTCTCAAATTTCTTTCCTTTATGTGATAGTTTTGTATTTCGTATCCAATAGTTCACCCAGTTACGATTTTTTTTTTTTGGGGGGGGGGTGTGGCAACTAGTTCTTTGTTAATTTTAATGTTAAAAAATCATTTGGCCAAGTGATATAAAGAAACCATATGTTCTTGTTTTAATGGGTAAATCTATTGTACCGAAGAAAAGTTACAAATGAATACAAAATAGTTACAATTCATATGGTGTGAAATTACAATTGAAAAATACCAATTATGACTTAATAAAAAAAGTTAGAATCATTTCTAAAATATTGAGATCAAGCCTAAAGAAGTTAATCTTATTAACAACTCAATGGATTTTGAGTTGGACTACCTCCTCTATTTTGTATACTCTTATTCTCTTTTAACTGGTGCAACCCTTATGTTCTCGTTTTCTGTCATTGACCTGGGAATCGCAGGACTTATCCAAGTCAATGGGAACTTTATATATGGTTAGCATTTTTTTTCCTTAATTTGGGTTGTTAAAAGATTGTAGTGTTAATAGCATTTTTTATCACTAAAGTATGTATTTTTAATCAGTTTAGTCTTTATTGTATCAATTTTGTCAATTTGATCATTAAAATATTAAATCTATGTCACTTTGATTCCTAATCAGACAATTCATTAAATTTTTTGACGGAAGTGACCACGTATCCTTTTTTAGATGGTATCATGTGTTTAACATGTAATTAATCCGTCAAAAACTTAACGGTATATCTATTTAATAACTAAAATGACACAACAAAATTAATATAATGAGAACTAAATTAACAAAAAATATATATATTTTTAGAGAACAAAAACATTATTACCTCATATTTTACTTTGATAGCATGAGACTTTCTGGATTTGTTGCATTTGTGGGGTGGTATTATCATCAGTGTAAGAATCACCACACAACATGCATCTATCTATGTGAATGTCTCAAATACCTTTCACTGTTTACTTCTGTAAATGATATTCTCTCTCTCCTCATCTCTCCTCCATAGACTTGATCCAGTCATTTAATGCATTTCAGAGAGAGTGAAAGTGAAGGATCAGCTTTCTTCTTTGCAACTGCAAGTCAATTAAGGAAGGAAACAATAGGATCATGTGCCCTTGTTCATCTTCATCTTCTTTTCGTGCTTTCTTTAAGCTTTGTCATTTACTGGTGCTGCCAAAAGGTGGCAGCTTGAGTACTGATTGCATGTTACCATCTTAAGAAGAGAAGACCCATCGTCGCTTCCTTCCTATGTTCTGTTTTGGCCTCTTCTAGACTACAGAGAGAGAGAGAGAGAGCAGTACAGTTCTAGAGGGTTGTCAGGATCAGGCGTGAGAAAGAGGAGGCATATTGTCAGCCGTATGAAGGCCGGTTTAAGGGGACCAGATGGCGACCTTTGAATCCCATTTCTATTCCCTCCACCCAACCGACAACATGCCCCTCTCTATCGTACACTCAGAGGGAGAGAGAGAGAGAGAGAGAGAGAGTACTGGTTATTAGTGGCACCCAAAAGTGAGGCAGAGAACCTCACAAGTCTACATGCACTGGTTGCACCCCAAAAGTGTAGAACCCCACACCTCTCCTCAGATTCACTTTGTTGCACCAGAGGGGATCCAGGAAACGTCTCTCTCTCCCTCTCTCTCACACACATACAGAGGTTTGTGGTCCTAGTCCTACCCGCTAGTCCTAGACCAAGACTTGTATATTACTATATTAGAGACTGCTTTTGTGTTGATTTAATCCTTGTGGGAAGAACAAGAAAGAGGGTCCAAATATGGATTGGAATGGAAACTTTAGACCCATGGTTTCTCGACCAGATGCTTCCTTCGGCTTTCTCTACAAGTATAACCAATATCCAGGTAAACTCAAAGCCTCTTACCCTTTTACTATCCTTTATTTCTCACCATCTTTTGTGATTCGGTATTAATTTTGATGTGTTTCCTGAAGCAACTTTAGTGAACAATGACTAGCTTCGTATGCACTTTTACTTGGTGTATCTTGCAGTCATACTATTTTGTGCACTAATTTCCAATTAAAGAAAGTTATTCTCTTCTGTTAGTTTCAATTCTCTCTCTCCCTTAAACAACCACATACATATAGTGAAATTAAACACAAAAATCTCTTGAGGCACGTACGAACAACCCATTGAATATGAATGTCTTCTTCACCTGTTTGCGAATTCCTAAACCAGAGAGGATCAGTAAGAGGCCTTTCTTTGTTGAAGTTAAAGTAGCTTCTCAGTACGCCAGTCCCCTTATTGACCATAGTGCCTAAGGGGCAAGTTTTAGGGTAAATATGGCTAATCAAAAATAAAAAGAAACTCGGTTTTAGTAAGCTTGGATGACCGACCAAAAAGAAAGGAAAGCAATGTACTCTCAGCTCCGGGTATGTAGGACAGCCCACCGAATAGCTGCCAAGCCGTAAGCGTCTCAGTTCGAAATTTGTCTTTGATTCTTGCTTCTTTGCAGCCATGGAGATGAAGCTTCCAGTGGAGATACACAATGCAGTCCTTCCAGGGATGGACAGGAACAACTATAGCATTCAAGAGAAGAAGAAGAGATTGACAAGTGATCAGTTAGATTCATTGGAGAGTAATTTTCAGGAGGAGATAAAGCTGGACCCTGATAGGAAGATGAAGCTGGCTAAAGAGCTAGGGTTGCAGCCCAGACAAATCGCTGTTTGGTTCCAAAACAGGAGGGCTAGGTGGAAGGCTAAGCAGCTTGAGCGTTTGTATGATGCACTTAAACAGGAATTTGATGTTGTTTCTAAGGAAAAGCAGAACCTCCAAGAGGAGGTTAGATAGCTCTCTCTCTCTCTCTCTCTCTCTCTCTCTCTCTCTCTCTCGTGGTGTGTCCATGCATGAAATGCACTTCCCCGACAAAAACTAGAAAAAATTGAAATGTACATTTTTTTTTTGAATTTTTTTTCTTTATGAATATTTTAAGAGAAAAATAAGTGAAAAGTTCAAAAAAAAGGGTTCTTGTCATGAACCATTTTGAAATTCACTTTATAACCCTGAAAGTTAAAAGTTAACATTTTTTTTTTCTCAAAATTATTGTATTGTGTTGCAAATACTAAACATCATTTGGTTTTTGTATACTTGATTATATTTGAGGATTCCGCTTCAAGTTATAGTTTTCATTTTGAATATTTTCTTCATTAATGAAAAGGTCCAAGCATTGAGAACAATAGTGAAGAACCAAGCCACAAAGAAGCAAGGATCTACAGCTTATACAGATATCTCCGGTGAAGAAACTGTTGAAAGCACGTCGGCCGCGACTAACATCTCTGAGAAACCAAGGGGAACAACTGTCCATAACATTGCTCACTGCAACTATGTTTTCAACGTCGACGAGTACAATCCGGCGATGCCACCTTACTGGGCTGTTCTGCCTTCTTATCCCTGATCAGAGGCTGCAGCTAATTAAGCTGTTTATAGAGTAACCTAGCTAGAACTAGATTAGCTTAACTTGTAAGATGGGATAAGCTTGTCATCTGAGAGAGTCAGTATGGAGAACTGACACTACACCTCAATTGCTTCCATGGCATGAGGAGTTTGTTATGAGTTACGACTGTTAGAAATCAATAAGCATGGTGTCATGGAAATGCTTCTACTGCCACTACTACTATTATTATTATTATTACCATTCTGATCATTCTACCACTATTGTTTTCAGTCCATGTGAAACTCACGTTAAGTTTTAACCCTAAGGTCTCCATTCCAATGCAGCTAAGTGATGCCACTGTTTTTTATTGCACGATTCTCATTGTGTAGTTTTATTTCTGTAAAATTTATATTGAATTTTGCTCAAACTTCACTTGATGCATAAAATACTACGCTATTTGTTCTCGAGTTTAAAACTTGTTGCTACTGTCAAGGTTCGCTATGCCTTTTTTCGTAGTTATGTTTTCTTTTTCTCTCTCTTTGTTTTTATATTTTCGAAGACTATTGAGATTTACAGCCAAACAAGGAAACAAGGAAGACAACCACTGAGAAATTGTGAAAAGAGTTCACCAGATAAATGACTGTTGAGTCCAATGTCAGAGCCGATGCCCTCAGGCCAGTCAGTATGGTTTTGGACACCCAGGAAAATGGGTACAATGTTGTCTCAGTATTAGGAACAGATAAGGAATCCTATATTCATCCTTACCGTAAAAACTAGGGTTAATTACAAAATATCCCCCTCAATTTATAGTCCATGTTGTACTTAAACCTTTTAGGTTTCAATTAGATCAATTTGCCCCCTTAGAAAAATTGATCACATGCAAACCACGTCACTTGGAATTCGATTAGAAATTCAAATAAAAGACTAATTAACCCTATAATCTCTATTCTTAAAAAAAATACAAAAATAAAAGGCTGCGCAAATATCCCAACCCCCACGCATCCAACTCCTTTAGTGGCAACCCTAACTGGATGTCTACTCCCACTTTGATCAGCAACTTTAACCCCTCGCCTACCCGCCCTTAGATCAGCAACCTTGACCGTCGTCTACCCCTCACCCATCAGCAGTGACCCTCCCGACTAGCAACCCAGTGGAGGGTCAACCGCTGCCAAAACACACACATATTGGACTTACGTGTTCCAATTTTTGATTACTAGTAAATTTCGATTTTATCTTTCTCTATCTAACTTTATTGATCGGCTATTCGAAAGAATTGGGTAGGCCAACAAAAAAAATTTTAGTATTCTACAAAAAATCGAGTAAGAATGTAAAATACCTATAAAATTTTTGTATTTCTATCCTACTCTATTCAGGTGTATAAATTAATCTCTAAAAATTAAAATCTAAAAATCTAGAAACCTTAATTTTTTATTGATATTTATGGCTATTTTATATATGGTGTATTGATGTTTATGATTTTCTTGTTGTATGTTGTTTTAATTGTTTATGTATTATCTAATTTAGTATTTTTTTTTTTAGTGTTATCGGTTTATTGTGTTAGTAAATTGGTGCATGTTGTAATTAAATTGTTAAAATGATTCAAAAATTAATAACTAAAAAATATGTATTCATCCGAATTCCTACCCGATTGTTTTGGATGGAATTCAAGTAGGAATAGTATATTTGATCGGGTAGGATAGGTCAAGAAAAAATTCTTTTACAAAGTATCGAATAAAAAAATAAAATATTATAATTCATTCCTGTAGGATATAGGATGAACACCCCTAAATATACGTAATGTAAGTAATAGGAAAAAAAATTATCACCACCACAGTATTGTCCTCTTTCTGCCTCCAATAACCATGTCCATGACTGTGGACTGCTGCGTTTACCAAACTGTACCACCCATGGCTATCTCTGGATTAGGAAAAAATATTCCGCGTAACAGTTACGCCACATTTGATCAATTATGAATAATTACGTAAAACTAGTACATCCCACCAAGTTACATAATTACCAATAACTTTCACGTTCAAAACTAAGGGTGCCCAAGAATCTAAAAATTTGACTCCGGCTCCAACTTTGGTTCGCTCCACCTTCGTCGGAATAAGAGTTTGAGTCTGAAATCCTTTTCAAAAAAACTTTAACTCTAACTTTTATTAATAAAATATTTTACATAAATTGTAAATCATATAATATATATTGTATAGAAAATTTTTAAAATATTGTTCATTAGTGTAACTATTTGGTGTAGCGTTAAAATTCGATAATGCCGAAGTAATTGTTGGTGTAACATTAATATCCGATTATATATTTGAAAAGAAAATAAATTATCAATCAATTATGATCTCTTCGATTTATATCTTTTGGAGTATCAATATAACGACGTTTAAGAATGTCGACTTCGGATTGAGAGAAAGATACAGTAATTGTGCTTTCAATACGCAGTGGAGAGAGAAAATAGGGGGAGAGAAAGTGAGAGAGAGAGAGAAAGAGAGTGAGAAAATAAGGGAGAGAGTGAGAGATTAACGAAGAGATAGAGAGAAAATACGGAGAGAGAGAGAGAGTGTGTGAGTGAGAGAATAAAAATAAATGTTCACAATTCAAAATATTTAATTAAAAAATAAACATGCCAATCCATTATGCATTATTTAAGGAGAGGTAAATAAGTAATATAAATAAAATGTCATATGAATTTTATACCTAAAAACAAGATATTTTAGTAAAAATGAATTTAATAGAGTAAAATTTTTATCAATACATTTTCTCTCAAATAAGTCAAAAAGCAACATACCTACAAAAAAAAAAAGCATAAAAATGCCCAACAAAAATTGGCCCAAATCCAACCCAACTCCCAAACTCCGTCTCAAAATTACTACAATTCAGAATTAGAGTCGGCAAGCAAAATCCCCTCCGACTCCGTCGGAACCCACCCCTATTCAAAGCTACCATATAGGATGAGTGAAGTTTACTTATCCTATTTGTTTGTTTATTATTAATTGATTATACTACGTGTCAGTGGTGGCAACGGAATTAAACTGAGGATAGGATGGAATTGGAGCTCTAATGGGGGTAGGGTACCGAACAAGTGGAATTAGAGCTTTGGTGGTGGTTGTGCACTCCATTTGCAGCCGCAATGGTGCTCGATACTGCTTTTTGCTTTTTGATTTTTGTTTGGTGGTTGGGTAACTGGTGATGGAAGGATGTGTGGTTGTGATTGTGGTTGTGGATGTGGTTGTGATAGTGACCAAGGGTTATCATGGTTCAGGTTTAGTGAATCTATAAAGTTTTTTTGGACTTTCATTGATTCATATGTTTATGAATTCGTAGCGGTTACGACGTCAATTGGGATATAGATTGGCATTGCTAGTTCGATCAATAATGACATTAAGATATAGGGTAAGAAAGTTGAATAATGTTGTTATGATTAAAAAATTTGGCCTAATTTATTGATATAAAATGATGTGACTTTATAATAATTATTGGATTAACATCAAGTTCCAATGTTGTTGGATTCTATAGTCAATCCAAAAGTCACAATGAATAAGGTCAGTAAATTATATTAGTAAATTAGGTTTCAATAGTATTGCTCGTAGGAGAAATTGTGAAAAGGTACACCATTTAATATTTATTTGTATAAAAGTACCTCAATATAAAATATATGTGTATAAGTATCTTTATGTGTAAATGTTTAGTAAGAAAATACATTTTGCTGATTTTTAAATTTTTCTTTTACAGAATTACAATTTTCCTTTATTAATGGGAAATAAATCTGACAGTTATACTAGGGGTTCAGTTTCCTAAATTTATGGAATAACATTTTTAAATTTTAAAGTATATCCTCCTCTTTAATTCAATCGAAGTTATTCAAACATTCATGTATTCCCCACATTTATATAATTTTTTTTTGTTTTTTATAAATCGTAATGATGAATATATGTTTTCATCTTATATAATATCATTGGTTGTTATTACATAGTATCACAAAAAAACAAAAGTGGGCGAATTGTGTTTGTGGGTGGAATTAGAGTTGTAAGGAGGTGGAATTAACGTCAGGAGAAACAACGTTTTTCTTGAGTTATCAATTTTTTTTCTAAAAACTTCAACAATCTCAACTATCGTTCTTCTCTACAATGCACTTTTTGTTCTTCAATGATTGACGCTCTGTGTGATATTAATAGTTTGATGCCAACTTTTTCACTGTGAAGCCCTAAAAAAACTATTTTTAAATAACGATTTTCAAAGAATGGTAGTTTTGGAGAAATTTTGTCATCCTCGTTTGAAGTTCACACAATTCGGCGATAATGATAAAACTATGCATAACTGTTATATCTTCCTTTCCTTTCGGAGGTTTTCTCTATTGTTTAGAAAACTGAGCAATTTCAACAAAACAAATTGGTATTTTAGACTCTGAGTATGACATGATACTTTTTTACTGATATTTTCAATTATGGTACTTTTTGCCTAATATTTCTAATAAATGGTACCGGCCCCTTAATTCCCTTAATTGTAATGTGACCCAAACTTGGAGGGAGTAGTTTATAATTAACTCTTGATTAATATCAAATTACCACCCATGGGCAACTTTGGATCAGGAAAAAAAAATTTCATGTTAACAATTACACCACATCCGATCAATTACAAACAATTATGTAGAACTATTAGCTCTCACTAAATTGTATAGCAATCAATAACTTCCACATTCAAAACTAAGGATGTGCAAGACTCTGAAAATTCGACTCTGGTTTAACTCCCCCCCTCCGATCAAATCGGAATCAGAAACAGTCTAAAATTCTGTGAAAAAACTCCAATACATAAATTATAAATTATATAATATATTATTATATACAAAATTTGTAAAATGATATAAATTTATAAATACTACTCATTGTCCAATATAGAAATTGGTCCAAATCCTAGCAAAAGGTTAACAAAAGACATAAGAATGCCTAACAAAAATTAGCTCAAATCTGACACAACTCCGAAACGCTCTCCAACTCCGCCTCAGAATTTCAAGAGTCGGATTCAGAGAAAAATCCCCACCGACTCTGATTGGAGTTGAAGGTCGGATAAGTACCCTCGGACTGTCTGAGAATCAGAGCCCACCCCTATCAAAACTACCATAAAAGATTAGTGAAAGTTTATTTATCCGATTGTTTGTTTGCCTATTATTAGTTGGTTACACTACAATAAAATCAACAGAACACTACACAACGATCCTGGTTGAGAGAGGAGGTTAACACATCCAAGAAATGGCAACTTAAAAATCAGAAGTACCACCAAACTGCTACATGCGCACAAAGGGCAATCAATAAATCCATATCAATAACTGCATTCCAACCAAAAGCAAAAATCCATTCAAAACTAGAGATTACTCATATTCAATCATGATAAAAGAAATGCAAACAACATTTTCGTTGACAATACTAATCAACTTCTTTCGAAAAACCCAGCAACCTACCTAGTACTCTGATACAGTAACATTACCTACCACGTAGTTCAACGCTTTCCACCACCACCTCCAAGTTTAGGACCTTTTGGGGCAGCACCCTTGGCCATGTTACCCTTGCCACCACCAGTCTTCTGTACCTTGGCCATCACTTCTGCCTTCTTTGCCTTCTTTTCATCCTTTGTTTTCTTGATCCTTTCCTTAATTTCACTGTAATAAACAAATCCAGTCACTCAGCACAGAAGTTCCACACACTCAATAAAAGAACATCATAATAAAATTCAGATTCTAAATCTCTGGAACCACACGTAATAGTAGGGAGTAGGGACGCTTCAGAATGTACACTATCTATAATATGTGACAATACGAGGAAATGTAGTGAAACAATTACATATAATAACAAAAATCAATTGCAAACACACAGAGGCAACAAAAAGGAGAAAGCAGTAGGGACACTTCAGAATGTACACTATAATATGTGACAATATGAGGAAATGTAGTGAAACAATTAGATATAATAACAAAAATCAATTGCAAACACACAGGCAACGAAAAGGAGAGAGCAGTAGGAAAACGGACCGCAGAGCAGCCTCCCTGGCAGCATCGCGAACTTCTGGCTTTTCAGTTCTTTTCTTCTGGATCACTTCCAGAGTGGCACCCACAATGGACCTAGAGTAAGGCTTCTTGGTGGTACGCCGCCTCTTCTTTACAGCCTCTTGGGCAATGTCCTGAAAATTTCAAAATGAAAGACACACAAATTAGGCATGGCACCCAGCCCCCCAAAAAAATCTCATAAACAATAGGAAAGGCAGATGCTTTAGGCAGAACAACCATGGGTACCACTCCCACTAGGCTCAGGAGTGAATATGCATATAAGAACGAATCTGCCCAATGAGTTTTCACAGTTCACAATCTGGTTGCTCATTAGTACTCCACACAGTCCCTAATTTGTCTCATATGAGTTTTGGGCAAGGATTAGTGGGTTGATTTGAAAAGGAGAAGCAATGAGCTCAGCTTTGCACTGGTGCTCAATGGCAGAAACTAGATCTACAGGGACTGCATAAACATTAGTGATGGATCTACAACAGTAACTCGTACTATATCAGCTTACACGACGCTCGAGGCACTTTCGTTCAGAAATTTCTATACTGGGCCACTATCATGCTCTCACTCTAGCTCTATATCACTTAGATCTCAATCCCCGAATGTAGTGCGAGTGCACCAACAATTAGATGCTCAATGCACTGGAATTTAAGAAAGATGCAGAATAAAAATAAAAATAAAACTGAAAGTTAAATGTCAGTCACCTTCTTATGCTGTTTCCTGTACATGGCCGTCCAAGTAAGTTTTGAAGGCTTCAGTCGGTTGTGGAAGTACCTCTTGCATTTTGAGTTTGCGAACAAAAACACCTAAAAGGAACACCGTGAGTACATCAATCATGAACATTGAATAAAATTACCTCCTATAGCCACCAAAGAAGAAAAAGAGCATAAAAAAACAGTACAAAAATAGAGTGACCAAATGTCATCAGTATCAAAATACCTGAGAATCTGAACGAACAAATCTGATACCCCTCCCAGGATATATCTTGGCCCCGCTAAAACGACAAAGTTCCGTCCTGAAATGAAAATATAGTAAGCTGAATACTAAATTTAACAATTCGGTGTGTAGGAGAGCATAGTAAGACTTGCATATATTAAAACAAAGAGAAAAAGAGTTCCAGTAAGCATGGAACAGAAGGAAAATAGAACGTTACGCATCTACCATAAGTCATTGACAAAGTTCACAATCTGCCAAGTAATACTTAGTATCATTAGAGGCTAAAAAACATTATCATGACTGCATGACAGAAAAGGAACAAAATTTAAGGAAACCCTTAAAACCTATGTATACACCTCTTCAAACACCAATAAGAAACCTGCAACAAATTCCTACAACCCAGTAATTTTCCCATTTCTGCTCCTAGAATTATGCACTTCAAGAACATAAGATTAAGTGTCATATGCTTTTATCTTCCTCAAATAGCAGTAATTCATCGTGTATGATGTAAAATCAACACCATGCACCATTAAACATCAGTAACAACTAACGGTCAAGCAACCATGTCAGATACCAGGCAGATAAACAGTAAATAATGAGTTGCATAAGCTCCCACAAATTGACATCGAAAAGATATCACAAGCAACTCACAGAATATCTCCAAAAATGGTCTCTGAGTTCCCAAACACACTCACGGCATTTGGACAGACTTGAATGAAGGTTTTTAAATTCATAGTCGAGATCCAGGTCAGAGTAAAATGGGTTGGTAGTGTAATGTCCAGTAAATGCTTGATTATTTATGTATTGGAATAACTCCAGCAAGGCAACATCCAACTCTTGCTAAAGCCAATGTAAATGCAATCCACAGATGACACATTTTTTGTTTTAAATTCATTAGAAACAGGGTTTACTAACGACACCTACATTTTTCTCTTTGTCCATTTAGGAGGTATTCGGGCCTCTTAGAACACTTAACAGCAACATATCTTGAGAATGAAAGTGAAACTCTACTAGGTTTTCTACTCGCTAAATAATATTACAAAGCCGATGTGCCAATATGCACATATCTCTTCCCTCTCTGCCATGAGGGGCCCATAAAAGTTTTCCTTACCACTTCTCCCCAAAACAAAACCATAGAATTAGTCAAAACAACAGATCACCCAGTTCTATTAAGACAAATTTCTGCACAACTACTTTTTCTTTAATTCCAAAACACGCCAGTACCTTAATGACAAAAGCAAACATCAGTATCTATAGCTAAATCAAGGACCTTCCAATTTCCCATTGATTATGGGTAGTACTCTTAGGCTTATCACCTATATCAAAGCAACATCCATTTGATAGCAGCATATATATACACATCCATATAACATACATAGCTATATAAATTCATACATCTGGAGACATATATGTAACAATATAAGTAACGATTCAAAATATTTATTACGTATGTAGAAATCTCATTCAAGGATGAGAGACAGAGAGACGTACTTGAGAACCATGGCTGCTGGTATTGGTAGTTGCTGAAGCCCTAGAAGATTGAAAATCTAACAAGAGAGGTCATATGTAAAAGAAGATGATTGGACAAAATGGCCCCTGTTCAAGTAGCAAAACTACGAAGGTGCCACTTTCATTCAACTGAACGAACTTCAAGTCCAACACAATGACTTTAATGTTATTTGGGCCACCGATGGGGCCGAGATTAGCCCAGAACTTTCAAACCCCAGCCTAAAATACCTAAGCTCAATATAATGCTCTTTTTGGATAAGGTAAGCATACCAAGTAAGCCTGTCAAAATTCAATGCGACATGATTAACCGACACAAATCGACACGAATTAAGTAGGTTTGAGTGAGACTTTAACGGGTCTGGGTGATAAACGGGTTAACCCGTTAAACACGTTTAATAAACGGGTCATATTTGGGTGAGACATGTCAACCCGTTTATTCGTTTAAATAAATTTAATATAATAATAAACTAATAATAATTTTATATACATATAAAATAATAAATAAGTAAAAAAAAGTAAAAAAATTATTTAAAAAAAAATAAAGAAATCAGTTTGAGGCATTGAATTGTCTTTATTTTTAATCTCACATCGCCAGAAAGAGTGGAGAGATGAGTAGTGGGCCTCTTGCTTTTCAACTGACCAGCGATGACTTATGACCGTTGGTTATGGTTGTTGGTTGTTAGCTTTAGATGGAACTTTTCAAATTGAGGAAAGTACACTTTGGAAGCAAAAAAAAATGGAGTGTAAAAATTTGTTAAAGTAATAAATTTTTTTATTTTTTTTTATTTTTAAATGGGTTAAATGAGTTGTGTTGTGTTACCCGTTTATTAAACAGTTCGTGTTCGTGTTAAAATTTTTTACCCATTTATTAAACGTGTTATGTATGGGTTTGTATGTTTTTCACCCGTCACCCGTTTAACCCGACATGATTGACACCCCTAATACCAACAGAGTGATGCTTCTTGGATAAAAAATATTAATAATATTTGCAGACTCCCAACATTACTGTCATTGATTTAACTGTGGGTCTCTGCATTTATTGAAATTCATTGTTTATTCAATAGTTATGAGAGAAAGGGGACTGTGGGTCCCTGCATTTATTGAAATTCATTGTCTATTCAATAGTTACGAGGGAAAGGGGAGTCAGCAAATTTTGTTAATATTTTTTGTCCAAATAACATTATTCATACTGAAATAGTTTATTTCGATAATATGTTCAGTGCTAGAATTTTAATGAAAAAGTTTATTTTTTAGACACAGATTTCAAACGAACTATACAACTATAGTTTGGCATTTCACTTCATGAGATGACCTTAGTGCATTGGTTCGATGGATAACAGAACTGAGATAGCCTAAAAGCATTGTTCTCAGAATTGGACCAGTCATCAAATTGGCAGAGGGGCGGGTCAATGGTTCACTGATTCAACCGTTAGGTTAACTGGCCAAACATGTTATATAATATTAAATTAAAAAAATATAAAATATAAAATATAATTAAAAAAATATAAAAAATATCCACAATATATACAATTTACCATAAAATTAACACCATAAATACACGATTATATGAAGAAAAAACCAACAACTTGTTTATGCCTTTTTGCCTTCTCAAGGCAATGGCATTTTCGAGGCAATTATAGTATTTTTTAATATGTGTCTTATCCCTCCGTCTTTCTTGAGGCAATTATACTAACAATATTCGCTGCGTTTAGTATATAGTATTAAATGTAGGACTGAAATATGCATTACTTAGTAATGATCATTCCTATGTTTGGTTGACTGGAATAAAAATTAATTCATATTCCGAAGGAATTGTTAATCCTCCAAATTTTGAGATTAAGCATTACCTAATCTAACATGGTATTTCTGATTCCCATTCCACCTGGAATGTTCCAATAAAAAAACACGAACAGTTTTCACGATCCCCCTCATCTCTCTCGTTTCACATTATCTCTCCTTTCGCTCCTTAGTCTCTCGGTCCTCTCGTCTCTTGTCTTCTCTCTTGTTAACGCTATCTCTCTTCAGTCACTTTCTGCTCTCGTTTCTTCTTATCCCCTCCCAATCACTTTTTGCCTTTCCTTTATCTTTGTATGCAGCAAAAGGTCACATTGGTGACTAGGATCAACGTATAATAGCTCAAATGTGACCTAATATTTGGTAATTTCTCTGTAAATTTGGTCAATTATTCTTAGATTTATAACTTCCAAAGATATAATTCTCAGATGCAACCCTTCCCTATACAGTCCTTTGTGTTCGAGTGTGTGTGTTCATACTTCACTTGATACTAATATTTGGTGAGAAGGATTGGTATATATTTTTTTCTTCATTTCTTTGTGTTTTCAGATAGTTTAGTTTATCTTTACATTCATATATATTTGGATGTAGTGATATCCAAAACCCGTTCGATGATATTCCTAATAAAAATGAGAAAATTGTTGTAAAGTTGTGTTATAGAAGATATTTTGGGGGCCATTTTTATGTTCCTAGTGTCATTTGAACCTACTGTATTGCTATTGCAACTACCCTTTAGTTTGATTTTATATAGTTTGATATTGTTTGCGAGGACGAACACTAAATAAACACAATCTGTCAGTACTTTTTATGCCATTTTATTAGCACAAAAGTATACTTTCCCAACTGTACTCTATGCTCAAATTTGAATTGGATTAATCATTGGGTTTGAAGTGGTTTCTATGGGTGGAATGGAATTGAATTGGGAAAAATTGAGTTAGGTTAGTTCTTGATTGAATTTTTTTGTAATTACATAGTGGCAAGATTTTTTGATCATGGCATCCTTGACCACTGTCATTATTACACCTGATTTTTGTTCATTTAACAAACCCTTTTATTGTAATTGGAAGAGGAAATAAAGATGCAGGGCTAATGAAGTAGAGTAAGACAAGTAGAAGAAATATCATCTCTTTAGCTTCCATGTTGCTTCCTTCCCAAAAATCTCACAGCTTTTCATAGTCTTATTCTCCTCCAATCCTCCTTTTATTTTCATGAATGCTCCACTTACTCTAACCTAACTTTAGTAAAGTAAACAAAATAGGAAAATCTTTGCCTACTTGTAATCTAGAAAAGATCTTATGAGAGAGATTAATCTGTGGTCTACAACACAGGTCAGAATTTTTTAAAGTGCTTTTTTGCTTTTATAATTGTAAAAAAGTTGCACCAACTTTATATTTGGGCCATAGGAAGAGAATTCCTCTTTTGCTTTAATCACCTCAACTAGATTTTGTTTGTCATCTTCATCTGGCAAATTGAAACTGTGGGTAAAAAGTCAAATTATCTAAGTCATTTTATTCATTCTTAGCCTTCATTTCAAGTGTACGACTCCCTTGATCGTCAATGGTAAACCACGTAAGATGTTTTTGTTGAAGCCGAATTTTGTTTTTGACCTTATTTCAACCTAAAAATCCAAACATGATTCAGTCTAATGTTGATATATAAGAAAAGTTGTCATTTTCTTGTTTTGGTTGAAATCTAATTCATCATAAACAAAAGTAGACAGATATACTTTGGGGGACCTGAAATAGGTTAATTTTATGGATTTTAGAGTAAAATAAATTAGGTGTGTTGAGGCTTAGGTTTTGGACTAACTTATGTACTTCATTTTCCTTGCATCATTAGAGTAAAAACCCTTCACTTTTTGTTCCTTTAACATCACTGTCAACAACTCAATGAAACAATAACAACCGGTTTGAATGAAAGCCAACAAGTTTATTGTAAGGCTTTTCTGGTGAAGCCATTGCTCCATCAACAATTGCTTGTGTTTGTGAATGATTATATGTATAGAAATGATTGATTAGATTCACAAAAAAAAAAAAAAAAAAAAAACCTAACAGAGGCTGAATGATGTACTTTAACATACATCATAAAAGTTCTCAGCCCCTCTTTCACAAAAAGGCTTTTACCGGTCATTGCATTTCAGAAAATGCATACCAGACAAGCAATTCTATGCACAACCAACTATAAGCAATTCAATAAAGACAAAGAAGATTGAATACATGATACTATAAAAAATACCTATGAAATTCAAATAAGTGGGTGGCTTAAAGTTTAACACTTAATTGAATTCCCCCTTTTTGCAACTAGAAAATTTTGTTTTCACGTACTGTTGTGAATTTTGCTTTTGCAATGTGAAAATCTAATTTTTTGGCTTTGTTTGTAATATCCCAAATACTGATTTTTTTCTTTGTAATTTTTGTGACAGTTATGGGTCATTTAAGTCTAGCAAGAAGGAAAATGAAAAAGAAGAAGAAATTGATTGAATTATTTGTGTTATGGACCAAAATCATGCATTTAGTCAATTATTTTTTTCATATGATGTCTACTGTCATCCTTTACTATATGAGAAAAAAATCATTAAGAGGTCAAAGGTATCACAATGACTTCTTTGCAAGGAGGACTATTGTCTATGACTATGCTTATGCGAGTGATGATGTATGTGTTTCTCAACTTAGGATAAATAGCCGAGCATTTATTAGGTTATGTTCCCAGCTTGAGACAACAGGAAAATTAAAACATACCAAAAACATGGAGATTGATGAACAAGTGATTATTTTCTTGCATATCCATGCACATCACGTGAAAAATCGAGTTATGAAACAACTATTTAAGAGGTTTAGTGAGACTATTAGCAAGCACTTTCAGAATCTATTGAATGTAATGATAAGATTCCAAGGCCATTACTACAACTTTAGAATTGATCACCCAAGTGCAGGTTGTGCGAAGTAATAAATTTCTCGGGAGTCCGAGGTCAAACCATAGGGAATTGGAAAAACAAGAGACACAAAATAAATAAAAAGTAAACTTGTAAGAACAATTTATTTAAGAGATTGTTGAGTTGAAAAAATATTGATTGGAGTAATTAAAACAATATAATAAAAATACTAGAGCATCAGACACTCCTTCTCAATTCCGTAAAATAATGATTAAAGACTCAAATCTTAATTTGAGACAAGAATCAGATGTCGGTTGATTTATGTGACAAATCAAGAAAGAAAACCTAAAGTTATAATCAAAAGATTATTTAGGAACCTGAATAATCATTCAATTATATTATTTTATGAAATAATGATAATTACCTCAAGCATGGAATAACCAGTTATTTACTCGCAGGAAAATTTAAGCAATCAATGTACATGGCACAACAACTCAAAGATTTTTACAGAGCAAAAATTTTGCTATAAGATCAGAAGTTAAATTAATAAAATATCATAAATCATTAAACTCAAAATCAATAACATTACTATACTTCATTAA